CTGATCTTCAACGTCAAGCAAAGAGAGTTGCTTCGCTGCGATTTGTACAAAGACGATTGTCGTCCGTGTAAGTAAATTTATGTACAAGAAAGGATAGACGCTTCCCCCCTAAGCTGTGGCACCAGTGACGGTGAAGGAGTAGCTCAACCCCTGCGACACCTCGCTGCTCAGCTTGAAAGGGTCGAACAGAACCAAGTCTTCGGGCGTGTTCGCGATCACGAGGCTGACTTCCTCACCGGCTTCACGGCCACAGAGCCGGTACCCGTCGACGACGACGTAGCGCGTGCCAGCCGAGCCGCTGTAGACGACGAGCGTGGCAGTGTAAGCGCCGGTGGCGGAGATGTTTACGGAGACGGTACCGGCGCCGGACGTGGTCAGAGGGATGATGTTGGCACCCATGTACTTGGGAGCGCGCGCGGCCTTGACGGTGTACCTGTTGGTGCCGCTCGCGTCGACGTTGGCGTAGTTCAGGCTGCGGCGCTGGGCAAGGAAGACCTCCTGGGCGGACGGGTGGCCAATGTCAACGTAGGGCATGCGGGCCCAGTAGCGGCCGACGATGGCGCTCACTGGGGTGTTCGTGGACACGCGGCCGAGGGTGTGGAGGGGCGTCTCGTCGCTGTTCTCTTCGTACTGCAGCATGAGCTGGTTCAGCGTGTCGGAGCCGAGGCCGGCAAACTCGTCAGGGTTGTTCGTGAGGTAGGTGAAGAAGGCCAGGCCTCGTAGTAATTCCGGAGCCGGCGGTGCCGTCGACAAGAACTTGGAAGGAGTCGCCGATGGTCTTTTGAGATTGATCTCCGTCTGCGAAGCGACTGGCCATTCTGGATGCGAGCATCGGCGCAGAGTTCGGACGTCTTGTACGTGTTCGGCGAACCAGTTGCAAAGGTCTCCCACCAGGCGCCGGTACGGCTCTGGTGCACCCAAGTGCGCTGGTGATAGTGCAGGGCGTGGCCGTATTCGTGGATCGTGACGCCAGGATTGGTCAGGAAATTGTGCAGGACCTCGACATAACCCAGACCACGCTCAGGATCTGAATGCATGACACCGGCAGCGCCTCCGCCGAGAGCGGGCACGGAGTAAATGTTGGTCTTGTAGTAGGGGCCGTCGTCGGATCCAGGGTTATACGACAGGCCGGTGGATCTGAAGTTGAGAGTCTCAACAAAGCAACTGAAGGCCCCTTCGAGCATGGCAAGGGCTTCGTCCGCGGCGTTGGCGTTTCCATAGACGCGGAAGTGAGCCGAGTCCTTGAAAGTGCTACCGCCGGGGCCGACATCTGGGTTGGCTGTGAAGGTAGCCGGAGGCGCGGCAGCGCCAGCAACAGGAGTAGCCTGAGGAGCAGCCCGGCTGCCAATAATGACCTGCAGAAGGACTGCGGTGATCAAGTACTTGGATCCAGCCATGTTGATGAATGCAAAAAAGAGAGAAGACTTGCTGTGGGAAAAGAGCAACTGTTGGTGTTCAAACGTAGAAGCGTACAGCCCGGATCAGGACACACGGGCGAGCCTGCCATAGTTATAGACATTTCATCGTGACATGAAATTCCCAATGCCGGCTCGTCTGTGAGGTACGAGAATCCGGAGTATACAAATTATGCCGTTTTGAGTGTCGGAGACTAACGAGCCAGGCAATATACTCGACGCGACACGGCATTGGCGCTCCAAGCATAAATTTCTCCGGCGCACGGGGTATCTGCCGAACAGACTTCACATTGGTCGGTCTCGACTTCCATGAGAAAGACTGGCTAATGAAGAGGGCATAAGATCGTCGGATTTCATCTCGAAGAGGGAGGTCGTGGGACAGATTGGCTCCATGGGGACCCGGACCTGTCTTCTCGTAACCTGACTCGGGGAGCCACTCTGTAGGCCTCTGCAAAAGCGTCTGCCAGTGCAACAGAGCAATCTTTTCAGGGTGACAAGGAAGGCCAGATGCTTGGCGTGCTAAGTTGACGGACGACCTGAGCTCTTGCGTCTCAAGTAGGGGCTCCTTTCATCTGGGCTAACCGGCCGACCTCGTGTTGGTAGTGGACTCCGCAAACCAGTCTAGCCCACCTCGCATCAAGATGAAGAACCATACGACGTGGTCTTCCGTTGTGTGTCTTTGTTTCCAACGCCCGTTGTTGAGGAAGAAGGGTGGGGAAGTAACCTGTCCAAGGCTGGAAGCAGCCAAAGCGGCCTATGTTTTTAAAGCTGTGAGCTTCTCGCCTATAGGTGCTGCCTATAGGTGCTAAACAGATGGAATAGGACCCCGCATCATTCGACCCATGTCATGTGTCGATCCAAGGAAGGATCGCCTCGACATGCTCTGTTTGGCATCAGCCAGACGATGCAGCAGAATTTCCCGATGCACAGCAATACGCTTCGCCGCGAAAGGGGCTCGAAACAGAACACCAAACTCCATCGACGTAAAAGCGGCAACATGGCTAATCCTGATCGGGACAACAACGTTCATGGTCCTGGTGACTCTCGAGACAATAAATGCGCAATACTTGAGATTTCAAGGAAGTCCAAGGCGTGCGAGTACCCACAGACCCTTGGTAGGCCTGAGTCTTCTCTGCACATCGGACCACAGGGCAATGCTGGAGAGAGGGTTTTTTCCCTTATTCTTCTTACATCATTATTTTAGGTCACCGTCCTCGGTGTGCTCGGCGCCCCTGGCGCTCGCATTGCATGCACAAGATGGCGTAGTGTGCACGATGGGACCCATCATCACAGCGCGCGTGCAAACCCGCTGTCTGCAACAAGGATGCGCGAGGCAGGGGATGGGGGCTGGAATGAAGAACAAGGTGACAAAGTACAGTGGCAGCAGGATGACACCCCGTTTCCCCCACTGTTCGATGCAGCCATGGCGAAGGTCGATGCGCCGTGATGGACCCTCAGACGCAGGCACAGACAGGCGCATGCAACTTGCGCAGGTGTCGTGAATTCCACCATGTCTCTTTTGTTTTGCTGCTGGGCATTTTGCTGCTGGGAGAAGGACAGCAGCTGGCGCAAGTCTCGAGAGCCTTGCCTCACAACTCCCAACCTCACCACCGCCTGTTCCTTTAGGCCTTGAACAGGCGGCGGGCCTTGTCGTCTTCCCTGTGCGTGACTTGGCAGTGCTCCTCAGCTAGCTTTCTTCCTTCCCCGACCCCCCCCCCTCCCCTACCCGGCATGCGACTCGCGGCAGGCGATCAAGAAGCACCTCTGACGCCTGGCTGTGCTCAGTTCATCGGGATCCCGTGAACCGACGAGACCCCCCGGCGTTCGGTCCCTGCCACTCATCTTTCAGTCGGTATCCGAAACAGCAGCCCGTCGTCGCAACGAGACACCGTATGGGTTTCTTTCGCTTCCGCACCCATTTCTGAAGCAAGGAGACGATCATCTTGGAACACCTCGACACCCTCGAACAGACTGCATCGGCCAGGGCACGAACAAGTCGAACAGCTCGAAATCATCTAGCCTAGGAGCTCTCTCTAGCGTGCTAGCGTACCACGATTTGATGTAGTATGATGCATCACGACAGCTCAACATACTTGTAGAGACTCGTTCTCGAGGGCGCAGCAAAGAGGGACACGGGCAATTGACCTGCCGACCCAGGGATATCGATGTAGCGCCAGCCACGTTTGTGTTTTTTAAAGGTTGCCCTCGCATCGAGACATTGTCGTCACTTTCACGATCCCTCTGTGACGCGGTACTGGTGAGCACGCTCCTCTTCCACGCCACGCCAATCCGCATCGAACACTGGACGATCCATCGACACCCAGCTTTCATCTCATCTGACCTACGGCCCAATCATGGGAACGAGCGTCGAAGAAAGACCAGCCCAAGCCATCGGACTAAAAGCGCGGGCCCTGACCAGACGAGGCCTAGAGCGCCCACTGTCCTGCAAGCCTGCGAGCCCTGCGAGGTGGCACCGCATCCATTATAGAGCAAAGTGGAGCCTGAGCACCACGCTCCCCCTAATCACTTCCCCTCGCGAGCCAATCACCGCAGGCAACGTCAGTGGTCACTGCGCCGAGCAACTGAGGTACGCCAATCTCATCTCCCAGCCCACCACTTCCCGTGCCAGCCGTCGCACTGCCTCCACTCTCGCTGTGCCTGTCGCTGGCCAACACTGCCCAGCGTGTCTGGTCTGTCGCCCGTTCTCCCTCAACACCACCACACCAAACACACCACAGAGTCTTGCTCCCTGCCGTCGACGAAGAGACACTCGTTGACTCCAGCATCGACTCTGGCGTCGAAAAAGGACTAGCCGAAATTCTCTCTCGCGCCGGCCATCCGATTCTTCCTCTTCATCCTCCTCATCATCGCAGGCGTAATTTCGAGGACCTGATCCTCTCACACTCGTTACCACAACCGCCGACCGCCTCGCTCCTTCCTCGCCCGCTCCTTCTCACCGACCAGCCAAAGACGGCAACAACTCTTCTGGCCTCAATTGCCATGCACGGTACTCTTCGACTCTGAATCAGTCACAAATGCACTGCGAAGAAAAATCTTCGTCAACATAATACCCACACCGTATTTTCCTCACTACTACCCAATTCGAATCCCTGGCCTCGACGACAACAAAGACGAGCGCGCGATATACGCCCACACAATCACGATGCGGTCGCCTTTTCGGAGGCGCCCTTCGGCGCGGCGGCCTCGTTCGCCAACTCCGGCTGCTTTGTTCGTCATGGCAGCAGCAGCAGCCGCCCTACCTCGTGTCGGCCCTGGAATTCAGGGAAGTCCCTGAATCGAACCTCGATCTCTCTCAGCTTGGCAGGATAGGCTTGGCCGGAAACTTCAACGGAATTTCCCTCTACGAATTTGAAGGGCAAAACGAGTTGGCGCTAAGTACCAATGGAAGTGAGGCGCTTCTCGCAAGACTACCCAACGGCGCATTCGCATCAATAGCGTCAACCGATGCCTCGATCCACGACATGTGTGCATCTTTGCTCGACTCAGGGGAGATGGCAGGAGTGGTAATAGCCGGTAATTTTACGAGCGTCGATGGCACCCCTTCTCAGGGCGTTGCCCTGTTCAACACGACGTCTTCCCAATTCGTTCCCCTCGACGGCCTGTCGGGACAGGTCAACGCCTTGCTCTGCGACGAGAAGAACAACATGGTCTACGCTGGCGGCAACTTCCGCCACGCAAACTCGACAACCAACGCCATCGCTTGGGTCCATGGCCAAGGGTGGACACCGCTTCCTTTCGCGGGGTTTAACGGCCCAGTCTCCTCCATTACCAAGGCGTCCAACGATCACATCATCTTCGGAGGAAGCTTCACGGGACTCGGCAACACCAGCACGCCAACCACTCCAGATGGCCAGATTATAAACCTGTCGGGCGCCAACGTCACGGCCGCCTCCAGCAGCCGTACGACTGGCTTCAGCGACCCCCGCAACATCTTGTGCAAGACGGAAGGCGCGGGCGGTGCGGGCAACAGCTGGCTCCTCGAGGATGGCTCGCCCGGCTTCTGGCGCGCTCAATTCAGCTTCGGCTTCGAGCCCACCAAGTTGCGCCTGTGGAACACTCGTCAGGATGGCCGCGGCACCCGGACCTGGCGCTTCACGGCCTTTCCCATCAATGGTATTCTCAACATGACATACGTCGACCCTGCGACCGGCCAGAATGCTACCTGCACGAGTGAATGCCCCCTGAGTAACGACCCGGCTGTCACCTTCCAGGATTTCCATTTCATCAACAACGTCGGCATGAACGAGTTCCGCATCGACATCTCTGAGTTCTATGGCGCCGGTGGCGGTCTGAATGGCATCCAGCTTTTTCGGCGAGACATCTTCGCCTACGCCATCAACGACTTCAACGAGCCTACTTGTGAGGGCCTCGGCATCCAGACGCCCTCGACGGCCACGGCAACCGGACCTTGGACAGAATCGCCTTCGCTGCAGAGCAACTCTCGCTATTTGACGGCTCAGTTCTCTGCCAACAACCTTTCCGGCAACTACTCAGTTGAGATGTACACACCCGGCTGCATTCAAGACGACACTTGCACGTCGAGGGGCCAGGTCAACGTTACGGGCGACATGTCGTCCGCAGGAATGGCCGGTTTTCTACCACTCTCTTCCAGACCAACAACTTCGACAAGTACGATCAGATCTACTTTGGCTACATTGAAGCCAGCTCCGCCGGTGGGTTCCGCCCCAGCGTCACTCTCAGGCCACTTCAAGGACAGACGCTCGACAACCTGACTGTTGTGGCTCAGCGGGTCGGCTTCTCGCTCGTGAATTCGACGGGCGGACTCAACGGCTTGTTCGACTACGATCCATCCGCCTCATCGTTCGACAAGAACGACTTCACCAGCTCCGCCATCAACCAGTTGGGCGCAAGCTTTTCTTCCCAGTCTGCGGTGACAAGCCTCAAGACTGTCGGCGATGTGGTAATTGTCGGAGGCAATTTCACGTCGGCGGATGGCAGGAATGTCGTGGGCATCAACATTGCCGATCAGAAGGTCCAGCCGCTCGACGGAGGACTCAACGGCGAGGTCATGGCCATGCATCTGGAGGGCTCTCAACTGTACGTTGGCGGCGAGTTCTCGAATTCACTCGACAACAGCATCACAGGTCTCAACAATGTCGGTGTCTATGCCTCGGACAATGACACCTGGACTGCTCTGGGAGCTGGCGTTAACGGAAAGGTCATCCATGTGGTTCCCATGCTGCTCAACTCTACCAATGATGGAGCCGAGACGGTGGTTTCCTTCACTGGTAACTTTGATGAAATCAACGAGTTCGGCGACAACACGGCCGTATCCGTGTCTGGTTTCGCAATTTGGGTGCCGTCGCGGAACAACTGGCTCCAGAACCTTGAGGGCGTCTTCCCCGCCTACAGTGGTATTCTGACTGCTGCAGTCCTCGATGTACCCGACAGCGTACCCCTGTTCGCAGGCTCCATGAGCTCCGCCACTCTGAGCGCCAACGGCGCCGTTACCCTCTCTGAAAGGCTTGGCCAATTCCCCGTCAGAATCCAGCAACCGAGTTCGAGCTCCTCAGCGCTCCAGCGCCGCGATATTTTGTCGAGTGGTTCGCAGGTAAACGGCGTTGTGACCGGAGCCTTCTACAACCAGGACGATCGGAACGTCACTGTTCTCGCCGGCCACTTCACAGCAACCAGCGGCGGCTCGACCCTTCAGAATTTAGTCTTCATCAACGGCTCCGACAACGACGCGGTGCGCGGCATCGACTCGGGCGTCTCTGAGAACTCCACTTTTGTTGCGGTTGCAATTGTCGGCGACACGCTCTTCGCCGGCGGCGACGTCAGCGGCAACATCAACACGGACACCGTTCGAGGCCTACTCACCTACAACCTCGCGACTGCCAGTCATGGCTCGCAACCCCCGGGCCTCAACGGAGGCAACGGCACCGTCTCGGCTATCGAGGTTCGTCCAGAGACCGGAGATGTCTATGTCGGCGGCGCTTTTGAATCCGCTGGCTCGTTCGACTGCCCCGGTGTGTGTTATTATAGCACAGACCGCTCGCAGTGGAACCGACCTGGCACCGGTCTCGAGGGCAATGTCAGCACATTGCTGTGGGCGAGCGAATCGCGCCTTATCGTCGGTGGCGGCATGCGACTAAACGATTCTCTGGTGTCGCTCGTAGAGTATGACGCCGATGACCAGACCTGGACTGCGTTCCCCGGCCAGAATGACCTACCCGGGCCCGTCGATGCCATGACACGCGGCTCACAGAACGGAGATCAACTCTGGGTTGCAGGCACTTCCTCTAACGGAGGATCAGTCTATCTTATGAAGTACGACGGATCCGAATGGCACCGTGCTGGCGAGTCGCTCCTGCCAAGAACGGTCATCCACAGCCTCCAGATCTTCACTGTCACTTCTTCCCATGAGGGCACCGACACGCTTGAAGCGGACAAGGTTTTAATGTTGACCGGCTCCATCGGTATCCCCGATTTCGGCACAGCCTCTGCCGCCATTTTCAACGGCACCGGCTTTGTACCTTATGCCCTGACCACCAACAACGGCAATGGTGTCGGAACGATCAGCAAATTCTTCTCCCAAAACCAAGACTTCTTCAGCGACAAGGGCGGCAAGATGGCTCTTGTCTTCGTTGTGTTGATAGGTTTGGCTATCGCACTCGGCCTCATGTTCCTTCTTGTCATTGCGGGCATTCTTCTCGATCGCCTTCGCAAGAAGCGCGAGGGGTACACCCCAGCGCCCACGTCCATGTACGACCGTGGGAGTGGCATCCAGAGGATACCGCCGCACGAACTCCTCGAGTCCCTTGGCAAAGGGCGTCCCGGTGCGCCTCGTATCTAAGAAGAAACGGAGAGAAGGGTTTGATTTCGTTGGTCATTTCACATGGTTTGCAGGGCGTTCTGGATAGGCGTGCCAGGGGCACGAAAATGGGATTGCTTCGATCTGGTCATTTTCACTCGAAAATACCCATAGACAACGCGCAGGGAAGAGAAAGATTTGGAGGAACGGCCTTTGCCGAATGTCCGTACCGAACTACTACCACCATCACCACTATCACCACACCATCACAATAACCACAACGAACACGCCTCAAGTCCGCATGGTGGTGATGCATGCGGCATACAGTCAGACGACGGCGGCACAAGAAGCCAGCAGGCTTTTGACCTCCCCCTACCCCTCCCCCATGCGGACTTTTTTTTTTGTCCTTTTGCTTTCGCTTCTTCACGAACTCACGACTTTTGCTTGATGTCTAACAACCGGATTCTATATCATCACCTTGTGCGCTAGCCGCCTTGCCGGTTGGCTTTGCTGCAGCATACACCGACCTTCGTTTTGGGAGGCTGTACATTATTTTCTCCACTGGCTGCCTGCCAAAAGCTGTACGTACACAAGCAACGCTGAAAGCACTGTGTGCCAAAGGCAACAGACTACCTGCACTCGCATGTGCACTGTTTTCTTTTGGGCTTGAGAGTCGGTTCGGAGGAACACGAAGGTGGCTGTGGTTTGATATGGAGTCAGGAGGAGACAGGGATATAGGGTGCCATCACTGAGAATATCTCGGTTGTGGAGGCAGCTAGGCAGACAGAAGAATTGACGCGTTTGGCCCTGAAGAACACAATGCGATGCCTTGCCTATTGCATCAAATCCCATGGCATAAAGTACTACGATATACCAGACGGCAACTTGAACACCGAACCATTTGTGCTCACGTGACTTCGCGACAAGAACGCCCCTGCAAATCATTTCCACGCCCCGCGTTACCAGGCGTGTTCCATATCAGGGTCCATTCAACGTCATGACTTGGTGAGTTTGCCTCGCTGATTTTCCACCCACCACCACCCCAGCCAATTGTCTTCAGTCAGGTTCGGATCCATTGCCCAGTCTTTTCGGAGCAAGAGCAACGCCAACGAAAGCAGTCGGTCTATCTGAGATCCTGCTCAGCCATCACACGATCCCTCCCTCTCCCACTTTGCGCCGACCGACTACCCGCGAGACAGGGCCCACCAGTGGCGAAACAATGGCCCCGCCGACTGCGAAAAAGCGAAGCACCATCACGCCCAAGAAGCCCGCGGCGGCGCTGCCCCGATCGAAGCAGAAGCCGAGGCCGAACGCCAGCATCCTGAGTTTCTTCCAAAAAGCCGAGAAGGAGGAGGAGGAGCTGTTCATCGAAGACCGCGCCGAGAAGAGTGCTGCCGCTGGTGCTACGCCGACATTGCAGAACGGCCATGGCGGCGAGGAGACGAGGTTCAATGAGGTCGGCGGTCCGGTGAAGAAGAGGCGGCTGAGCGGTGCTGGAGTGACGGAGGAGGGTGCCGAGGCTGACAAGGAGAACGTCGGTGGCCTGTTTGGAAGCGATGTCGAGGATGTCGAGGCCGTTCTCTCTAGAGAAGAGAAGCCCCCCTCCGTGGGTGAGGTGATGGCGGAACCCGATCCGGCGATACACAGAGTGCCCAAGGACAAACCCCCGGCCAAGACGCGTGCGAAACGGAAAGGACCATTTCTTGATGATTCCGACAGCGAGGACGAGAGCGATCCGACGCCGAGACCGAGCTTTGCGATCCCACCGTTCGGTAACACCGTCGGCTTGCCGCCCGCTGAGCCAGCGTCTGAAGGTGAGGAGCCCAAGAGCCCGGAAAAGGAGACAAGTTGCCCACCACCACCCCTCAAACAGGATGACTCGCTCGACACGGCTTTTGCCAACATGGACGGCTATGAGAAGATGGACGATTTCCCGGACGACGAGGACCTGGGCGGCGAAGAATTCCGGATGATGCGGTACATGGAGGAGCAATCACGGCTGGATATGGAGGTCATGAAGGCGGAGGATGACGATTTCTATGGTGACGCTCTACGAACGGATGCGACGAATGAAGTCAAGGTAGCCAATTGCCCCATTTGCGACGGGAGTCTGCTCGGACTATCGACGGATAATGCCACGAAACACGTCAATGCCTGTTTGGACGGAAATCCCATACCACTTCCTGAGCCGAAGAGCACAGTTGAGCCTGTACGCGAACCTAGGACGGAAGACGGCGAGATCACCAATGCCATGGTCGACGCCCCTGAGCTCGGGAAGCGCTTCCAGCGAGCCGCGGTCCCGAGGGCGCCCCAGGCGAATCCGTTCGACATCGTCGAAGGCGAGACGGCTGGGGCCATGGGGAAGAAGTCGTCGGCCTTTACACAACTCATGTCAGGCCACGCTGAAAGTGCTGCGTGGGCGAACGCAGCGGCCGCCGATAAGGCCTCCCGTGGCAAAGCTGCCTACGAGCGGACATGCCCCTTCTACAAAATCATGCCGGGGTTCAACATATGCGTCGACGCATTCCGTTATGGCGCCGTCAAGGGGTGCCAGGCCTATTTCTTGAGTCACTTCCACAGCGATCACTACATTGGCCTTACGGCGCACTGGACTCACGGCCCGATATACTGCAGCAAAGTGACTGGCGACTTGTGTATCATGCAACTCAAGGTCGCCCCGAAATGGATCGTCGCGTTAGATTTCGAAGAGACGGTGGAAGTGCCGGGGACGGGGGGTGTCATGGTCACCATGATTCCGGCGAACCACTGCCCAGGCAGCTCTCTCTTCCTCTTCGAGAAGCCTCACGGCAAGGGCGCCAACGTGAAGAAGCAGCGATATCTCCACTGCGGCGACTTCAGGGCCTGTCCCGCGCATGTTGAGCATCCACTGCTCAAGCCAGATGTGCAGGACGCCATCACCGGCAAGCTCAAGCAGCAGAGGATCGACCTGTGCTATCTCGACACAACGTACCTAAACCCTCGCTACTCCTTTCCGCCCCAGGAGGATGTCATACGCACTTGTGCCGACGTCTGTGCTGGCATCTCCCCCGATCCAAACTGCACGACCGACATCTGGGATATCATGGCTCGAAAAGGGGGCAACAGTTCCGTCAGCAAGTTCTTGATCAAGCCACCTTCGCCAGTGAAGGAAGAAAGCGATACCCCCGCCTCGGACTCGGCGAAAGACGGCACCGCCGACTTTTTCACCAACGTCAAGGAGAAGAAGCCGCCCACGTGCCGGCAGCGCCTCCTCGTCATATGCGGCACCTATTCCATCGGCAAGGAGCGCATCTGCATCGCCATCGCCCGCGCCCTCAAGACGAAAATCTTCGCCTCGCCCGCCAAGATCCGCATCTGCTCCAAGCTCGGCGACCCGGAGCTCACATCGCTGCTGACGTCCGACCCGCTCGAGGCCCAGGTGCACATGCAGATGCTCATGGAGATCCGCGCCGAGACGCTTCAGGATTACCTCGACTCGTACCGGCCGCACTTTAGCCGCATCGTCGGCTTCCGCCCCTCGGGTTGGAGCTACCGGCCCGCGCCGGCGTCGACCGGCGCGACGGCCGCGTCGCTGACGAGCGCCAACACGGCGCCCGGCACCGTGGCCACGACGCAGATCCTGCACTCCATGGCCTGGCGGTCGCGCTTCACGGCCCAGAGCGTCGTGCCGCAGCGGCGGCAGCACCAGGGAGGCCATGTGCTTTGGCGTACCGTACAGCGAGCACAGCAGCTTCCGGGAGCTGGCCATGTTTGTCATGGCGCTGCGGATCGACAAGGTCATCCCCACGGTCAACGTCGGCAGCGAGCAGTCGCGCAAGAGGATGAAGTCGTGGATCGACCGGTGGATGGCGGAGAGGCGGCGCGGCGGTCTCGTCCGGGCTCTCGTCGAGGGCGAGGGGCAGAAGGGTGAAGGCGAGCGGGAGGTTGTACTTTGGGAGGGCAAAGACAGCTCTGGAGGAGGTGCGTGGTGGTGAGCTTTTGGCTGCGTCTGGGCGGTGAATAGTTCTTGGAAAGCGGTCAAGGGATGGCTCTTTCTATCTTTCTTCTTGTTCACCCCGCTGCGCTTTATAGCCAAGATCATGAGCGCAGGACATGTTTCTTGCTTTCCACTGCTTGACACAGATCGATGTTCTTTTCAAGGCCCATTGTGGTGTGTCAGGGACACGACCTTTGGTAGACGTGGAACGTGAGAGATCTCAAAACGAAGGGTTATCTTGCCTTAGGTCAGAACATCTACGAATGGCCTGAGTACGGCTCTTGCCAGTCGCCACAAATGGACGCAATACTACCGTTGAACGGCGATATATCATGGCAGTCCCTTCCACTGAACGGAATCAACTATCGAGGGCATACAAATGCAGGAAACACACATGCAAACTTCGACCAGTTGCACGGATGATACCTCGTCATGAGGCGTATCGCAGCTGGAGTCAACGCGGATCATCAGCTGGCGAGACGAACGAGGTATCACATTAAATCTTTGACATTCTACTTGAACGAAGACAATAGACCCTAGAGATTCAGAAGTCCATCGAAAAGAGCCGCAAGAGCGACAGCTATGCTTACAATGATCAAGCTACAACAGCACTGGGAGCTGCTCTGATCCTACTTTACGAACACAAACGCGTGTGAATATCTGGAGAAACAAACAGTCAGACTATCAACGCCATCCGGCGGCTGCATTGGACACTTCAAGTCATGTCTGAGCCTCGCATAACGTCTATATGAACGGTTTCCAATATTCTACTTCTCCTTCTTTCACCTTATTTTTGGTCATGGAGGACAGTTCTCCTGCGCCCCTGCCAACGCCTCTGGCAGCAAAGCGAATCAACACTACCACTACCCTCCAGCTCGCCGAATCCACCAGCTCAATTCTGTAAGCTCTCTTCTTGAGCGTCGCCTCCGAAAGCCATGTCCCGGCCGAGAGGCTATCACATGGGGTCCCTTTGCAGGAAAGCGACGGCTTGGACGGCTTGCTTCTTCGAGGCTAAGAGTCAGAGCGGACGGCACCACCTGACTCGTGTGGGGCGGTAGCAACGTTACTGGCGTGGTTTGCTGGGCCCTAGTGGCAGCCTGCGGCACGTAGCTGCGCGGGCCCCCCTCCTCCCCGGCCTAAGGAACGCCATTGCCAACGGCGCTGCAGCTGCCAGTAGTAGAGGGCTGGCACCAAAGGGGGTAGTGTGTGTTTAGATCAGGCTCAAGGCGTACTGGCATGTCGGTGAGGAGCCGACGCGGAGCCGGACTGGGGCGGCGGGGGGATGCGAGGGGACGGGCTGGTCGAGGGGGTAATGTGCCGGTAGGGGGGAAGGTGATGCGAGAGTGAGACACACGCCATGTATTGGCGTAGATGAGTGGTGCTGAATGGTTGCTGAACCCAGTCAAGTAAGAAGCGCGGTGAGCGCGGGAGCGAAGGTTTGGTGAGGAGTGTCCCGAGGGCAACCCCTACCATGCCTTGATCCCCGAAGGCTTTGTGAGGTCTGTGTGAACGACCTGGCCTACCAGGACGAGCCCACGGCAGGCATAGTTTGCGATTCTTTGGTGGCGACCATGGAGGACTGCTTCAGAGGATAAGGGCGTACTGGGGCAATGGGGCAAGATGCCGGGTGTGCCCGGTTCCGTGGCCATCCAGGTAACAAGGGGGACTGATTGACTGATTTGTTTGAGCCACTTGCGGCCGCGCTGCGGCAGTACTGCCTGACGTGGTTTGGTCCCAGCAAGCAACGCGCCCTGGAGTCCGTACCACCGCAAGGGGGCCATGATTCAAAGTCTACTGTCTGTGCCGATTTGTCGGTTATCGGCTGGCGCGTGGGCATGTGTCTCTGAGAGGCAATTTGTCCGTCCTTCGTTCATCGAACAGTGAGTGAGTGAGATATCGCTGGCTTCAGGATCCTCATTGAGCCTCATCGATCGTCACGATCATCATCTTTGACCGTCGAACCGATCGGCGTTGAGTAGCCCGCCAAGCTTTGTGAGGACGCTGCTTAAGCAATCTTGGCTTTTCTCGGCCCATGGGGCACTGGGCACTGCCTGTCTGGACTGGCCAAGGTCATCTCGGCTTATTCAAACGCCAGAGTTGTTTTTCCCTCTCTCCCGCTCTCCACACAAGCACCGAAAGGTCTGAAACCGGAGCGAATACCGAAGCTCTTTGAGGCCTTTACAGTACGGCTGGGTCGAGTACCGACAGGGACGGTCCTTTGGCAAGTGGCGAAAAGAACTGGGGACCAGTAGGGGTGCCTGAATCCCTGGTACATGTAGCTATGTTGCTCTTCCCAGGATGAGTGAAGTGGGAGAACTGGAGAGACATGCGTGTGCCCATGTATCGACATCGAGAGGTGTGAATAGGGCAGTAGACAAGGTATAAGCTTGTCGGTTGCTACCTAGGTGTGGACGGCATCGACGACTGAGGTTACCCCACTCACACTACGGGATATGGAGGAGGGCAGAGGAGGGCAAATGTGAGATGTGAGGTGTGAGGCGTGAAAGGAGGGGCAACCACATCGACTGGAAGCGGTGAGGGAATAGCGGGCATAGGACTCGAGCGCGGGGGAAGGAGGAAGGAGAGAGGAGGAGGGGAGAGGAGGGGAGGACTATCCGCGCCAGCGGAAGGTACGCCGAGCTGCGGAATCGAAGGTGAAAAATGAAGATGATAGGAGGAGGCTTGGGGGGGGACGGCTAGGATGGTGGATGGGATGTCCAAGAGGCAGGAGCCCAGGAATGACAGGGGGTGGAAGGGGCCGGCGAGCGGGGCGGAAAAGAAGGTGGTCTTTCTCATGTGCTGATTTTGTGAACTGGCCTAGTCACATAGGTGTGGTTAATGAGGTAGATAGGTACTTAGGCTCACGTAGGTACCTTAGGTAGGTAGTTACGTGCCTAAGCTAGCGTGAGAAATTGGCTGTAGCTGCAGTGTCTGTTATTGTTGGTGGCACGAGTCGTCCTTTCTTTTGGCATGGCATTGAGAAAGCAATAGAGTAGCCTACGTAAGGTACCTAGTGTCACCAGCCGACGTGGCGGGCGCCCAACGACTGTTTTCTCCTACCTTTCTCCGAGTCTCAGCGTGCCGTCTCCCGGGGCCCCTATTCATTCACGGCTACCGGCCATGAGCTGCCCAAGTAAGGTAGGTAGGCTCATCGGCGGTCCAAACCCGCAAGATGAGACGAGATAAAATAGGAATAGTAGGCTTGACGCAGGCTGATCATTTGTTTCGAGAAGAACAAGAGGAAGCCGCAGATCCTGTCATGTGGAAATGACCATAGGAGGACAGTGGAGAATGCAGAGAAGAATCCGAAACCCAAGGTCGCAAACGGCCATCGGGTTCCAATCTCGCATAGTGCTTCGTGTTGATGTCGGCATCCCCAAGGCCTCATCAAAATGCCAAATGAAGCTAGGCGCAGGGTCTCCCTCCGCTGACAAGGCGCTGTAAATTCAGCGCCCACAGAGGCCCTTGTGGCGGCCCTGTCCCCATCACCGCCTCCAGCGCTCTCCTGGACCGTGCGCAACCCCTCCTGTGGAGACCGGGGGTGTTGTTAAAACACTGACCTCTGCCGGGATGACCACACCCTTGACGCCGACCCTAGAGACACTCCCATAGCCCCGCTGAATTAAGCTCAGGTACCGGTACGTGAAGAAGTCCGGCGGGGAAGCGGCGGCCACAAGCGGAAGGAAGCAGGTCCCTCCTTCTTACCCCTGCGCCGACAAATCACCTTCCACGATTCACAGCAAATGACAGTCGAGCGGATCCATGCTGTCCCCCTTTGTGACGTCACTCGACGTCATGAGCGTTCTTATCGACGACTCGGCTGTGCCCTCGGCTGGCGGCCACGGCCAACGCAGACAAGGTCAAGGAGGGATGGAGCGACAATTCGCTCATTCGACATCTATCACGGTGGCTGCGAGTATCAATTGTTGCATCGGTCCAAGACGTCGTCTTCTTTCAGCGCGCATGTGCGGAGAGTGATGTCGAGGTGCGTGGTTCAATGCGTGGTGGCAACCCAATCAGGCGGGTAAGAATGATCGATTTTGAGAAGGCATGGACCGTGTTCTTGGGGTAAGATCGACATTCCTAGTCGCACTTGCCTCAGGTACTTCATGCATACCTTCCTGAAGCTCCATGTTGTGAACTGGACTGGCAAGAGCGTTTTCCCATTTCGTTCATACGCACTTGACGTGGGGAGGTAGGTACCCAACTGGACCAAAGTACCGTCGTCAGCCTCGCCTGCTCTGCTCGCCAGGACCAGGTAAGAGAGCCTGGGCAACAATGGCGACACCCACCTCTTCGTCGCCCGCCTCGGTGGCAAAGACAACAAGGCGCAACCCACCCCCGACCCCCCGATACGTCCAGGATCGGCAAGGTCCAGGATGAGCCAGGACCCTGAAGATCCCATCGAATCACCACAACCAGTGGCTTGCCAAGTGCTTGCTTGGTGTACCCATCGCGAAAAGCATGGTGAGCTCACCACACCACACAACATCAACATCCCTGATTGACCTTGACCAAAACACCGCGCCTGGGATCTTTGCAGCACTGCTAGTATGCCTGTGTCCTCACCTGGCCGCCAAACCGTTCTTTGTCTGGCAATGGCACGTCACGTCCTATACGTGGCACAGCCTACAGCCTCCCCAGCGCCCTCGATGCACTCAGAGGGCAGTCAACTGGAGGACGCGCAATTCATTAGCCACCATCTGTTTGAGAAATTGACACATCCTCAGTACAGTGGTCACGCCCTGCTGTACCGTCGCGGCTGCTGGCCCACCAGGACCCATTAACCCTGGCCCCTGCAGCGTGATATCTCTGCCGCAGTCATCACTGGCCATGAGCCGTGTCCGTCTACTTGTGCTCCTCACGTCAGGGCAGCAGAGTTGTCTTCCCATGTATCGAGCGCTGGACGCTCGGTCGACGGTCTACATCATCGC